CTCAAACCCTGACCCTAGGGTGTGATACTTCCACTGATATACCTGGACAGTATTGAAGGCAGTTTCGACTATTGAAGAGGGCGCCTTCAAACATGGATGGCCTCGAACTGAACCATGTCCCATATATTGGAATGTCGGTCTGAGATCTTTTGTACGTTTGGAAGTCATAGAAAAGGTTTGGTTCTCATCACACCTAATATTGATAACACAATAGATCCATCTCTTCAAATAAACACAATAAAATGTATATTATGTAAATGCTGGGCACATAGATCGTCATGATGATTAAATGAAACATTAAAACTATTATGGTAAAAAGTCTATTCGAGGACAATGCAATATATTTATGCGAAATGATTTAAACGAAGAGAAATACATAAGCAAAAATAGTAGCTGCAAAGATATTAATGCTGTTCATTATTTATAAAATATTAATTAACTTTTACAGAATGTTCTCGCTTGTAGAAATAGACAGTCGTGCGTTAAGTCAAAATACACACGTCCATGGAACAACATTCGAACTATGACTCACAATACCACATCCTCGTTAGTCGAGGGTATTATATGCCCCCTCTTTTAGAATAAATACCATGGAGCTTTTAGCTACGTCACCATTTTCGTCACCATTTACATCTATATGATCAGTGACTCATTTTCTCTTCGCCATGTGTGTCATTTGACTGGAGGTCCAAAACGATGCCACGGGGACTATGGGTCCAGACTATTTATCATAATGAGTGAGTATGATTTTACGCCGCTTTAAGAATATTCCAGCAGTATGACGGAGGGGACACCAGAAATGGACTTCACACATTGTACCCATGATGGGAATCGAACCCGGGTCTTCGGCATGACGAGCGAACGCTTAAACCATATAATACACTGAATAAACGGGAATGACAATACTAATGGAATCGGGGGCACAGGTGGCCCTATCGTCTAAGGCGCCGCGATTCGCTGTGCAGAGTTGCGTCCCTTGGGCACGCCAGAAACCTATGATTGTGGGTTCGAATCCCGGTTCGCCCCGATTATGTTTCTAAGTTTGTCAGCACCATACCCGTGCTCGTGGGTTTCACCGAAGTGGTAAACGTCTGAAACCTGCATCACTTTGGGCTTTCCTCCCACATTAAGCTGACACGCCGCGATATAACTAGAATACTTTTAAAAGCGGCGTTAAACCCAACTCACTCACTCACTCACTCATTAATGGAATCTGTTGTTTTTTTTCAATGCAGTTCGTGACAGCAATGATCTGTCGTGGCATGCAATGTGCGTGTGACAAGGCATTTTGCACAATGTGGTGTATGTATGTACATGGCTTTAAATGACTTTTACCCGACGACATCCAGTTCTATGATAAACTTCTGAAGTAATATTCCCCAAGCCTTTCAACTTGTCATTAGCTGCTATAGTTTTCAAAGTAGGGATTATTCAATATTCCGCTGGCTATGCAAGTTTGATGAGTTCTACCAGAGCATGATAGATTAGCGTGTGAATTAATCTTTATCCATTCAAAGGAGCCCGCTGGGAAATTAACACCGCGTCACCGCTGATCTGCTTATGTGCATCCAGTAGGGTATGGTCTCACCTGGTCATGGCGTCAAAACCCGACTTTATCATATGACGTGGGGAGAGATAGTCATGTTGTCAGAGGTTCGATTCTCACACAGCAGTTCAATAATGTTACCAGAATCTTAAAACCTCGTTCACTGTCTCTCGTTACATAACGTAACCTCATTTAGAAGATATGCTAATTATAATATTTGGAATATGTATAGCGCAATTCCAATTAATAACTGCTCAAATGCGAATATAGACCATGGTAGATTGTATTATTACCCTGGTCAATGGATCCGTATGCACTTGATATTCATTCTCATCTCCCTGGGGGATATGCAACCGTAGCGGCATGGGTACCAATTGTTATATGGCGGTGTATTTTATTGTTAAACACTTATTGTAACTGTATTACATTGTTTCTGTTGAGATTCGGTAGTCGCCCCATTGCATTGTATTTGAACAGTGATTAGTTGTCAGGAATGTAGTACTGTTTAATGTAAGCAGTTTTGATTAAGTTACTATATTTAGATGCAAGTGTGATGAGTAAACGTCCGGAATACCGTGGACTGTGATAGAGTGTTATAGAAACATGTAGAATATCCTATGTTGTGATGGCACTGTGTGGAAATTTCCATTAGCAAGTAAGACTGTATATAAGGGGACAAGAGCGTGGCTCTCGCATCTCTCACACAGTTCATTAAATCAAGACCAGCTTTCGTGTGAAGATCACTTATCACCCCGGATTCCCTGCCCTGGCTTTTTTTCTCGGAAGCTTATTATCACTGACTTTATCTATCACCACTGTATTTTTGTAACTGATACTGACCACTGTCCTGTCATTAAATTGTATACTGCCATTGGATATTGTACTACCACTCCATTGTGTACTACCATTGTAATTGCTGTGCAGTAATTTGTATTGATTTGTAAACCTAATTAATTTTGTAATACAATAGTTAATTGTATACCATTCGTTGGTTTTTTGTTTGTTTCACTCAAGTTCTTTTACGTACAGACTTCTGGGTTTCAATTTGGGAATGAACATGTAACACCATTCACCGCTTGTATTCAGCGGTATATTTCGAACAAGGTCACATGCCTAAGGAGACACTACATGTGTTCAGTGTGGGGCAGGACCGAAGCCCTAGAAACTCTCAGGAGTCAAGCTGCCGAAACACGGTCAACCATCCAACGACTCACCGCGACCGACGTTGCTTAACTTCACCTGCTTTGTGACCTGTGACCTAAACACAGGATTACGTGTCTCCACAGTGAGTATCGTATATCACGTATTACAGGTGCCATGATACCCGTCGGCCGCCACTTACGACCAGTATAGGTTGCTGGGGTGTAACAAGAAAAATACTTTAAGAACAAAATAGGGACGTATGTTTACACTTCTAATGAGATTATTTTCATGAGTGCTCGTATTAACAGATTGTGGTTCGATGAATAAAGAAGGAATATAAACAGTTGCGTTTTTCATTGTTTGCCAAACAATGTGTGTTCCGACAGATGTGGGGCGATCGATTTGTGGCTTCTTATGTAGCCTGTGGTATACACAGAATGCCTTGAACGTTCTTAAATCGAAAAGGGCAGTGTAGAGAAGTGAGGCGTGCGTGCATGCGTGCGTGCGTGCGTGCGTGCGCGTGTGTGGCTGCTTCTAATTATAGTCCGTACTAATGCCAGTTTCATGGTGCTTGTCCACTGATGCCGCAGTTTAACATGGACAGTCCTTGCTTAATCCCCTAATGCCGGGCTCCAGGCATGACAACAACAAGTTTCATCTTTTAACGTATTTAGGTATGACGCGGAGGGAAGCGAACTTTCGACCTTGCGCTCTCCGAGCCGACGCTCTGTCCACTCGACCTTCTCCGTGTTCTAGTCAGTTACGATGTTCCTTTAACACGTATTATTACCAGTCAAACAAAACAGGGGGCACGGATGGCGCTGCAATTACCTGAGAAAATTGTGGTCGTGGGTTCGAATCCCAAAATCGCACTGATTATGTTTCGGTAATCAAGATGTGTCAGCACCATACCCGTGCTCGTGGGTTTCACCAATGTCGTAAACATCTGCGTCACTTCGGGCATTTCTTTCAAACATATAACGGGGCGGTCGGGTAGCCTAGTGGTTAAAGCGTTCGCTCGTCACGCCGAACAGCCGGGTTCGTTCCCAACATGGGCACATTGTGTGAAGCCTATTTCTGGTGTCCCCCGCTGTGATATTGCTGGAATACGGCTAAAAGCGGCGTAAACCCATACTCACTCACTCACTCAAACATATAACTGATACACTGTAATATAACTGGAATGAAATCCAAACCAAACGCAATTAAACCAAACGCACTCGCTCACTCACTCAAACATTGTAAATATAAATTGTCAATGCAAGAGTATAACCAGCCTAGATTTTATGCCGAAACAGATTCCACTTGGCATAAAGGGCAAATAGCTGTGAAAATTATATGAATGGATCCCTGAAAATCAGTGATGACACCCGGTGTTCGCGAAAAGGGTAAGCATGTCCTGCCCTACCAGTAGCACCCGCCATTCGTACAATTTGCATAAAAAAGTAAGTATTTATTGCCTGACGCGGCACATAACATATGTAAAGTCTTATTATTGTGAGGAAAAGAATAAACACCAAACTATTAACTGTTAGTGGTTGTTCATTTCCTAGAAATATTGAACGCTGTTCGACGTAATTACTGTCCCGCTTGTATCGGAAACAATGACTGGATGCATGGCAAAGTGTAACACCCAGCAGTTGCTCAGCGTCTGTTGTATACGTCACAACATACGTCCTCGGGGACTTGTTACCGCTGTATTGCGCTGTGTCGTATGCAAGGTGAATGTAATCGTTTGACGGTTCGGTAGCATTGACATAATCAATACTCGCGACTACAAAGAATCTAACTATTATAACACACGGGTCCTTTCTAAGTTAACAAATATTGAACAACCTATGCTACTAAACTATTTTTTAACCTCGTTGTACATACTCTGAATAAAATGAATATAGGTCATGTATATCCTCCTTGCTCTTTTAAGTCATACATGCTGCCAATAAAGCGAGATTCAATTGCACGAAGTACTTATATTTCAATACTCGTTCAAAAGCGTATATTAAAGTAGTTCACTTGTACAGTGCATGGTTATGCATTAAGTGGGCGGCAGGGGTTTTATGTTCAAACGTTCTCTCCCTTTAAACATGTTGATTATATAACGCTTAGAAATATTACCTGTAAACAGATTACTGGGTCCATTAAATCTGTCCAGGATTAAGGCACCTAGTGAAGCGTGCTACTTTAAGGCCGGGCTAATCTAAAGTCTTGTCTCAGGTAGCTTGTCACGTGATAGCAACAGGGCCTCTAATGGTCGAACGAAACACGAACCAATTTAGAAAAGATTAAAATATCAAAAGGGAACAGGACAAGTGCAAACAAAGCTAGCGAGCACAAGTAACCAGAGTTGCGTATGAATAATACAAGATTTACCGGTAGGCCTCCGCATAGCAACCACCGTTAGCTTGTTTGACAACCAGCCTGCTATGTACAAGTGTAGTATATTTCACAGCGCTATTCGCGACTGGTTGTAAGCCAGTCACTCGACTAAAACGCTCTGCGTGGATTTCATCAACTTGTATAGTGGAAGCAATCTTAGACTTTAGTACAGCACGTGAACATTTGGAACAAGATACCCTGAAGAATTTGGCCGAGTCACAGAACAAATCCTTAAGTTTAACGCATAACGGATTCCCACAAAGGTTTATTTGAAGAAACGTTCAACGCCTCTGAAGAATTTCAGTGCCGAAAATATATCTGAGGGTGTCGGATTTTCAGATTTTTTTCAAATATGTCCGCCTCCCCTTCCTCCCCCCGGCGATCCAAGTCTCGGGTGAACAAGATCTACCGCACCCCACCCACACCGCCACCCCAGGAGCTGCTGGGCAAGGAACATACGTTTGTTCTGGATTGTAACGCAGTCAGCAGTATATCCTGTGACTATTCTAAAGCTAACCCGAAACTTGGGCCTGTGGTTCCTCCATACAACTCCCAGAAGGACGGTCATGTCACACCCTACTTCAAGTTCCACGGCGTGGAGAGGACGCTACGGAGGACGGGACAGGTGAGCTATCTCAGGACGAGCAGTTGCCATGGTTACATAGCATCTCGCGGCATATATGTCAGGGTGTATAATATTACATAATTTAAAAAATGACCATTGATGCTATCTATGCTGTTATTTTATATGTAGCGATTATCTAAAGTGTATAGATAGAGGAGATTTCATTTACCTTCAGTTAAATATACACGTATTGGTATATTAAAATAATAGCCAAACAAACCGTGATCGTGTATATGTATTGATAAGTGAAGTTGACTCACAAGAATGAATATATGAACTATGTTGATTGACTGATTGATCAGCTGGACGCAAGAAACCCTTCGTCCAGGCACCCAGGTAGGGCCAGGTAGCGTGTTGTCGTTTAATGCCCGATTAGATGGAGTAAATAGGAACGTCAAACCCAATTTGTCTTTGTGAGTGACGGGTACCAGCGATAGATCAGGACATACCTACCAGGAACACCTGGTGTCATTACTATTTTATAGTGATATGATATTCGCCACTATTTTGCATTTTTCGCCCAATGGAATCTGTTTCAGCAGATTATTGAGACTGGTTATTTTCTGGCGTTGACGATTTATGTTTTCACTTGAACCCTAAGTCGTAAATTGGGAATGAAAAAACTCCATGAACTTTGACTACCCTCGGAAGTAATATAACTTTGATTATACTTCCATTGATTCACTTCATTTTATTATTTATTACCTTCGACCCGTGAAGATCCCTGTTAGAATATGTCTTCAGCAACCCATGATTGCCGCAACAGGCGACTATGCTTGTCCAAAGAGGCGACTAACGGCATCGGGTGGTCAGGATCGCTGACTTGGTTGATGCATGTCATCGTATCCTTCTTGGGTAGATCGATGCTCATGATGTCAGTCACTGGATTGTCTGGTCTAGACTCGATTATTTACAGACTGCCGTCATATAGTTGGAATATTGATGAGTGCGGCGTTAATCAACAAACAAACAAAACAATACAAAAACTTTTTACCTTTCTGTACTCTATAGTGTTTCGATTTGTGTTCAGTGTCAGTACGGCATTTCGTTAAAGTCAAGCCCGCCGAGCCGAAAGACGTGTTTGTGTATATGCGCGGCTTAGTCTGCTTGTGACAAAAGTCGCTATGCATGTGGTCGAATGTACAGTTTCAACCATTAATCAACCTGTGTAAACAAGATCAACCCCATGGCTTCCACATGAACACTGCATGACTATCACAGTTCAAGTACGCCCCAAAGCATTTAATCACACCTGTATAGGGTCACCTGTGACACTGCTACAAACCACAAACGCCATAAAGCGTCAAGGTTAAAGACCACACAAACACGATGTTGAACAAGTACTGTTATAGTCAGACTGCGTAATACTTGATTATTATCACTAGCGTTATTTCACATGATTGACAGGTGCTTTACAAACATAGGGCTCCCGTATAATGCCTGAGTCAACAGCCGTTTAGTATGACCTGACCATAAGTAACTGCAATCTGGCATCAAGGGCTTGGGTTGCAGTGTATATCTGTGTTTTTCAATGGTTTGTGTTTTGATACATAAAACCTAAGAATAACAATACAGTTCAGCCACTGACCTTGTAAATTGTCGACAGCCTTGCGGTGCACGTAGTGAGCCTAAGAGATATTTTGATAATAATGACTTTGGAATGCATATACCAGTCAAATTGTTCCAGCTTCAAATCGTTCTTGCACATCAATTCTGAAAAAAGCAATGCATGGACCTTCATTCTAACTATCATCCATATGACATTTAATGTGAAAACATGTTGAGATTCTGATGTGAAAGCTTTGTAGGTAGCTTATGTCCTTGAGCGACCATCCTTCAATCGGATTTCAGATTTATATCTAGAAATAGCATGACCACCATATTCAAAGCAGTCTGTTAAATGTCCGTCCTGTTCGGTCACCCGTTCAGTGTGACCCTGGCTGGTGTATACATATGTATATCACATAGCCGTGCCTCTTGTAGCGGACGAACAAGTGTCGTCACCTCTCCATGCTCTTGGTTTGTCCTGTCTCAACACTCGATTCAATGGAGTACAGGGTTTATGATCTTTAGAAGGTTTTGCTTGAATGATCACATTCAGTCCGTCTTTGGGGAGTGAAAGGACAAGGATTAACTCATATTTAAGTCTCTGTATGTAATCAAATATCTTCAAATGTCAACAAGATTCTTGAACTTACACGGGTCGGTGATTTCCAATGACAGCACGTCAGAACACGAATTCTGGAAGGAAAACGTTACCTCTATATCTCAAGCAAATACGCGAGATTATTTATGTCCATTGATGATTTTGATCTGGTATGAAATCTGTCAATATATGTTGATGATGTTGGGATGTCATAACACAACACATGTGTGGCTGATGTGGCTGCTGTAATTTGCTGTATCATGGGCCGATGGCCTAAGTCAAGATGCTGCAAGAAACTAGGAAATTAGCGACTCCAGAATATATTCAATTCCACAGACCTTCTACGTCATGACCATGAAAATAGATAATCTGTTCCGGCATAGTACCCTGCATCAAATAGAAATAGTCATGATAACACTACTCACTGATTTGTCTCAGTTGCTCTTTGTTAGGGACGGTGGGGTAGTCTAGTGGTTAAAGCGTTCGCTCGTCACGCTGATGACCCGGGTTCGATTCCCCATATGGGTAAAATGTGTGAAGCCCATTTCTGTCCCCCGCCTTGATATTGCTGGAATATTGCTAAAAGCGGCGTAAAACCATACTCACTCACTTTATGTTAGGGTGGCCATAAGGATTAGACAACATCTAGTATTGGAGGGGGTGTGAGTGGGGTTTTACACCTGGTCATGAATATTTCATAATGATTCCTAAACACATGCTTATGATATATTTGGAATGGTATAATGGACATTTCCTTATGATTGTAGCAATGGTTTGGGCTCATTTATGTTTTGAGAATGGTCTGACATAAATGCTCAAGTAGGAACAAAACTCCCGTGTTGGTGCGATGACCGATCACGTTAACCACTGTGCTACACAAATGCCTCAAAGGGGAGACGACACGCCATGAATAATCCTAAAATGACCATTGGAAGAATCAGTGAGTGAGTATGGTTTTACGCCGCTTTTAGCAATATTCCAGCAATATCACTGCGGGGGACACCGGGAATGGGCTTCACACATTGTACCCATGTCGGGAATCGAACCCGGGTCTTCGGCGTGACGAGCGAACGCTTTAACCACTAGGCTACCCGACCGCCCCTTATTGGAAGAATCAAGCCTTGGTCACATGTATAGCAAAGCTACTGTTAAATCACTAAGTTAACTTCTCAGTGACGGACAGAAACAATACAATTCAGAACTGATCCTTACAGATTTAACCCCAATCCCTATCAATACATACGCGACATTACCCTTTACCCTTACCGCGACTTTGAAGTTGCCTGGAACTGGGTAATACTAAGTCAATGTGTTGCAGACACTGAATCTAACTCCATGTACAGCACACAGACACGCAACAAGACACACGCTGGCGTTGATTGTGCCAGACAAGGCAATACGTCAAAGAGTTCTTGATTGATTTTGACAGGAAACAAATTTACCGGTATCAATAATAGAACATCACCTACGAGCTACATCAAACATCTTATGCATTCTTAAAGTGGTTTCCCCATGTAACACGCGTGACGAAAATAACATAAAAATCTGAACTAAAATTAAGTGTTATCTTTGACAAGAAACAGGGAAAAAATATAAATTTTGTTTTCATAAAAACCTGCAAAGTTTTAGAAAATTGACTATATTTGGATAACTGAGTGGAAGAGATTGTTGAATATCGTACTGACATAAGTGAGAAATGTCGTTTAGCATGGCATTATACAATAGCCAAACAGTTATGACGTTATAGATAAATCTACACGCAAAGGTTTACAGTTTATTTCCGCTCTCCAAGATATATAGGGCCAGGGACCTGTATTGTATATATACCACCGTCAGCCGCATATATAGCGAACTACAGGTATAAGGACGCACATGTTTGTTTCCTTCAATGTGCAACTCTTGCCATCAGGTTATAGCCATGGAGATAGGATTGATCTGTGTAATCTGTAGTTTTTGCAGGAGTTCACGAAAACAATGATCTGTGCATGAAGACGTTAAACGAAGGTAATCTATTTTGTTACGGATAAAGATATGGACCATGACATCGATCGTAGCAGTATTACATGTTCGGTAACTTCATGCAATTGACGGTATTATAATCTTGGCCTCGTCGGAAATCAATGGCATGGCGGTGAATGTTTCGGCCCTTAAGCAGCTGAAAGAACAACAGGAAGACAACAGAATGTTTAATGTTGGGAGTGCATGGGTGAGTGAGTGAGTGAGTAAGTAATTACTAGTGTGTCAGAATAGAGAAAGGAACATAAGAACATCGTTCCATTGAGAAGCCATGATGTTGTCATGGTGATAATGTGTATGGAAACTTAAAGAAACACCACTTCACTCGCTCATGCGTGGTGATCCCATAATAACAATGTTACAGCTTTATTTGTTTGTTTGTTGTTTAACGCCGCCCTCAGCAATATTCCAGCTATATGACGGCGGTTTGTAAATAATCGCGTCCGGACCAGATAATCCATTAATTAATATCATGAGCTTCGATCTACGATGACATGCATCAACCAAGTCAGCAAGCGTGACCATCCGATCCCGTTAGTCGCCTCTTACGACAAACATAGTAGCCTGTTACGGCAAGCATGTGTTGCTGAAGATCTATTCTACCCCGGATCTTCACGGGTGCATGTGTTACCGCGTCAAGGCTGATTGCGTTCGTGTTGCCTAAGTCCACATACATGTCATAGAGGAACAGAAACACAGTTGTCGCGCACAAAATGCGTAAAACAACTATATATGATGGGAGAAAGCATATCATTTAACGTCGCCGGTCGTAACAATCAAACGATGCGGCGGCCTGTAAATAATTGAGTCTGGGACAGGGAGACCCATGGCTGACTAT